AATTGCAATCGCGGTTGGAGTAATCGAGTCTAGGTACCTGGCACACAATGGACTGCATTCTACGACAAAATAAATGCTAGCAGCTAGTTAAGCTATGAATAAGCGTGAAGAAATATAGGCGATCACTTTATTTTGTCTACAGTCGAGATTTTGAAATCCATTTGGGTGTTTCCTTAGAGCTTAATTGCTTTCCAAACAATGTCAGAGCATCCTAGATGATCGTTTAATAATTTCGAGCAATATTTGCTAGGACTGCTGAATATTAGTCAGCACGGCGGGATGGATCTTTTCCAGCGTCCAATCGGTCGTCGATGGGAATCGCGGTTCCCGAGCAATTTAATTACGCCGCGGTATTTCTGATATTTTTCACGGTCACGTATCGGGACAAGCTATCGGGAACCGAGCGGGGAAAAAAGAAGAACGCACAGTGGCGTTGGAACACTCATAACAGGTGGACCGATGGTCGGTTGGGAGATGCATCTTCGAGGTGGGCGGTCCCACACTCCTTAAATCAGCCCGCAGCCACCATAACATTAAGGCTGCCTCTCACGGCGCGTCTTCTGCCTGGCTTGCCGTTTATTTGTTTGCTTAGAGCGAGTAATTAGAAACCGATACAAATGGTTATTATTTATCGGCGAGGGGCGACGGGTGTACCAGCGAATGCAGGAGTAGGTAGGAGGGAACACCTTCTGATTGCCTGGCGTTATTAAACCAACCGATACCACCAGATAAATACACGGACGTGCGCTGAACCCAGCTCAACGGACAATATATAATGCTGTGATCGTTGCCAACGGTTTTCCGTTACCATATTTCGTTGCTTGGGTACGTAAGTACACATATTCGATAGGTTTCAGGAGACAGTTCGCCTCGGACAGACCAAAGCAGTAGCTGGGATCGTCTTCAATTTTCAATAAATATTTCAAATCGCAGTAGCTGTGGCCTGAGTTATATTTTAATCGACATACGTCTCTTTCAGATTCTATTCTACACAATTCAGACAATATGTTGCGTATAAGAATATATTCGCATCATCATGCCATAAATAGTACTCTAGACAAGAACACTATTTTGAATGAACGCCGATTTTCGGTAAAGATAAAAATATTTCACACGAACCGCGTGACTATATCACACGATCAAGCTGACGCGATTCCGTAAGAGCCACTAAAACGCGGAACGAGATTATGAGCCCGAGTTGTGCACGAAACGCTTCTCTGTTTTTATAAATAAACATTTACGAAATCGCCAGCAATCTTGTCTCTATTTGTAGAACAACTCTCGTGCAATTAACTCCTCGTCTCGCGATTTAATTTGTGACTATGCGTGGCATAGCCAGGTAGTGAATTTCTCACGCGCTGGAACAAACGTCCAATCTGCTCGCGAGGATCGGCTCGGAGGCAACGGAACCGTGACGAGGAAGTATCAAAAAGTAATTCTTTCAAACCACAATTTTAAAAACAAGAGATTCGACACGATATTACGGCCGTAGCCTAAACTTTATATTGAAATCAAGTCAGTAACGATACTCGTGTTAATTTCGATTGAATAATTCAATTGTACGAATACTCTTCAGACTTGTCGTGATGTTTGTTTGTTATTAATCGTAATTCCTGTCCGAGTACCATCATTTTGACTCGACTGTTACATTCATCGAAAGTTTGCCTCAATTCAAGACTTAAAACAAGCTTCATTTAATGAATTACATATACAAATTGATCGAAACACGGATGCACTTTAAAATAACATAAAAATCCACCCTTTTGGATGTATTCTCGACTATAAAGAGCAAGATAACCACATAGCAATCGTTTCCGTTAATAACGGGTACCGAAAGCTCGACACGCAATCGAACTGGCCGCGATATTTGAGCCGAAACCGGTAGCACCGCACCTGTCGAAAGGACGAAAAAGGATTTTAAGGATTTCACTGAAAGGAATATAATGGAGTCGAGTGAGAGACGGCCGCCGCCACGTCAGACCGATGCACCCGTCCTGCATTTCCGAGGGACGCACGAATCGAAGAGTCGAATCTATCGCGATGCCAGACGCGTCCGTTAATAAAGTATAATGGGCACACGGTACCCCGACGACGATGTACACCTGACCCGGCGAATACAATGGCCGTCTACGGCGTTCGAGCACCGATCACGTAGCCCACGTGTGTGAACGGCTCTTTAATACGGGCTCGTAAACTATCCAGCGAGAAAAGGAAAGCTACGCGCCGTGACTCCCGACGGGGCCTCGTAAACAATAAATACAAAAGTGCACGAATACCGAACAACGTGCCAGAAATGGCTAATTAACGCTACGGGAAAAGAAGGTCGCGACGGAGCTTGTCCCGAATCTTTTGTCGGGCTTCCAAATGCGTCATCGATCAGCGCGCGAATTTGCACGGACACTCGAAAAAGATTGAGAAGGGTGTTTTAGAGGATTCGACACAGTTGATCGCGGTATATAAGGCGTTCGTTAAGAAAGTGGTAAGAGACCACCTTCCTTTTTTGGAGATGTAAAAGGTTCGCGCTTCGAACGGCGATGAAATGTGATCGGAATTTATAAAGTAATCGTGGTGGACAGGTGGTGTCCACGATGATAATTCCAAGTACTTCCTTGCATTCTTTTGATATCGCGGAAGCATTTGATAATTCGTCCTCGTGGATTTACACTATTTTGATGGTTGATATTTGTTTATCTAAGACTCATTTGTAATACACAGCCCGCAGTAGCTTCCTCCTTCTTTTTTTCTCGTTTATTCGTCGGAAACAAATAAATTTGGATTGTTTGCACTCCTCGCAATAACCAAGCGCGAAATACGATTTCCCGTCCCGGATATATCGGGTAATGGTCCGATTTATTTATCCGCGCAAAAATTGGCCGAAGGGGAGAGCAACGTCGAGTGGGAGTAACGTTGATTAGCTTCCGTGTTGATTTAATTACTGGGGGAATAATTGGAATGCCTACCGACATTCCCTTCCCCCCCCCCCTTCGACCGCGACATCCCCCCATCGTTTGCTTCACTTTGTCTCCTGCATCCCGTCGCCCTCGCGTTCTCGCGACCTGACCCGTTGCATATTCATCGATGGATTAATATATATCCCATGTGTCGAAGACTCGACTGGAAACGATGTTACATCGCCCGAAATACGAACGATAACGAATTTCTGTATCGACGAACATATCGGCTAAAATTAGCGACGGTGTTCGCCAATTTGGCGAACGAGCTATCTGGAAATTTCGAGTCTTGAGACTTTTAGAGTTTTAACATGATACCTTCCAAAGTGGTACCTTACATCTCGATAAAGCGTAAGTTCAAGACCTCTACAAGAGTTTTAATAGGTTAATCAAAGGCAGCGAATTCCGTGGAACCTCGAGTTCAATTACCAAAAATATCTGCGCCACGCTTCCCGGGAGGGATACGAATTTCGTGATAAAAGAGATACAACGCACCAGACTCGAATAAAACCACGGGCACCCAGGGCAAAAACATTTTTCCGCGTTCTCGCGAGCAATGTAAAAGCGGTCTGGCGTGATAGACGACGAGTGTAGGACGCTGCAGGGAGCAGAGCACGGAAAAGACACCGCGAACGAAGTTCGTTGCCAATTTCCACGGGAGCGCGAGATACTCGTCGCAAAAACCGTGGGGCCGTGTACGGTTACGTTCGTACGGCGGCCATAGGCGAAGCGTATATCGCGGCGATGTTATCCGCAAACACGCGGGTTCGGCCAATTTATCCCAAGGGATGAGGCCGACGTGGCCTGGAGCAAGGGTGTGGGGCAACCTTGTCCAGCGGAATGAATTCAGCACGCAGCCCCCGTGCGGTTCGGCCGCCTCCAACCCCCGTTTTGCGGACCACCTCCAGCCAGCGTGCCGCAACCCCCCGCTTTCCCGGCCGTTTTCCATCCCACTGAAATATTCCACTCCACCTTCGCCATCGACATTCTCCGCGGAACGACCGCTAAGGCCAACTCAAACTGCTCGGTCAGGAAACGACGCGTGCTAACAACAACGACATCGTCGTTCGCGGTGAACAGTTTCTGCTGTCTGATCGCTAATCCGACGATGACGATCACAGCGACGATTTTCAGGCTGCGCTCAATGGCCACCTGGATTTAACCGAACCGAAGAAATTAGGTTCGAGAGGTTAGGTTCCACGCCATGGATCGTATCATTTATTTCTATAAACGAGACTAAAACGTTGATATAGATAGCGACACGAATATTAGCCTCCTTTCGAGCAACATCGATTCAAGTGGCTGTGGAACACGTCGAACCCTGGCGATCGTGAGCTCTTCCGTGTCTTCGAGACCCCTACACGGATTATAACGAATATCAATAGCCTGAATAATCCTTAACTCGTTGCTATCGGACAACTGGTGATCCGCTCCACATATTGGCGGTTTGGTGTACACCGGCCGCCTGATTGCCACGGGGGCCCTTAGATTTATTGACCTGTCAATGGTGGCGCGCGAAAACGGCGAATTTACAACGCCGCAGGTGTTAAGTTCCGCCGTGCGTGTAATAACGGCCTGATCCCAGGCCTACGGTAAGCCACACCGTAATTATATTTCCGAACCTCTGGCCCGCCACCTTTGTCATTATCACCCGAGGCGGCGCGGCCGTAACTCAGCGAGATCCATTGGCCGTGTGCGCGCGAACGATAACAGAGAACGCTTGCACGACGGATCGCGCGCGAATCCGCAATTTTTTTAACGCGCACACACTACCAAACGGTAATTATTTTGAGTCGATAGAAATTTACGAGCGATATCCTTGACTTCGTTTTCGGGGTGCGTTCGACTTGTCATCTGTACCGAACTCGGTGAAATATAGTATCATTCGAGACGGGTCACCCTGATATCTTGTCTCTTTTTTTAATGGTAAAAATTATTTAATTTATGGGAGAATACTTGGAACAGAAGTTATCTGTTTTGACGGGTCTCAAATATACCATCCTGTATGATTGAATCGGAAGCAAAAAAAGAGATCTGGATTTATGTTACCTTGAGTCGAGCCAAGCGAGGTTCCTCCCCAACAAGTTTCGCCAACGCCTGATAGTCCCCTTGCGCAGCCCTCACCAACCACTCCCGCGACTTCCCGTCCAATTGCTGCTTTCCAAACCGATAATTGTACCGATTAATAGACGTTGCTCATGGTACTGAACACCGTGGTCGAACGGAGCCAGCGAAGAACCGTGGACGTTTTTCGTTTCTATTTTTACTGCACCGATTGGGAATCAAAGTTACCGACCCTTTATTCGTTTCTCGAAATTTACATCCAGACGGGAATTTTGCCTGTGACTTAGCCGATGAAAATTTTAATTAAGATCTTGATAATCCATCGCGTGCGTTTATCACGGACGGCGGCGTCCGCCGAATCATCTCCGGCCAGCCCCGTTCGAAGTGGCGCGCGATAATCACCGATCCACGGAAGACGACGACTACGATGAACTTACCGAGGCAACGGAAGCGCTGTCATCCTCGTCGGCACCCTGCGGGGAAGAGAAGAAAGTCAGTCACTCAGTCGTTCGAAAAATTAACGTTGCGCGCGACAGGGCGAGCCGTCGTTGCATCTCCGCGTGAAACCGGTCGTCTGCCCGACCGTCGGCTCAATACAGGGCCGAATCAAGGTATAAACTTTAAGAGGGCACGTTCTGGGATCCTCCAGAGAGATAAACGCAAAGTCAAAGTGTAAAGATAGATTCATTATACGGGGTGTTAACATAGAGGTAAAAGTTTTCCAATCCAAAAGAGGATCCTACATTTTTGTTAACAACTTCCTCGAGACACTGCAATTTTTCGTCCAGTCCAGGGATCTATGAGATCTTAATTCGTCGCTGGTTGGCCGTGTTGAGGAAGTGCATTCACGCACGAAGCGATGCGTGCTCGCGGTTACGAGCACCGGGACAAGCGGCCACGAAGAGGGTAAGGGGGTTCTGAAGAGAAAATGCGTAAAACCAGCGGGGCGTCGCGTACCACGAATGCGCTCCGGTCATCAGATTGATATACGGATCCAATAATTGATTCTCTGACGCAAGACCGCGGGAGACTGGACTAACTTACGCAACCCCTGTCGACCACCGCCAGGCACGAAGAGCTGTTCGTCAGCTGGGGTCTGGGTTAGGCAAACTTCGTCTCGATGGCTGTTTGGCAACAGGACTCCCTATCAAGCGAATAGATCAAGCAACGAAACGACGTACTCGGAGAGGTAGGGTAGCTGTCCGAGTAGGCCATATGTCTAAGTGATCGGACGCTCGACAAAGTTTTCGCTTGGCATTAGGGAAACGGGGAGTATCAGACGATATCTGTGAGATTTATGGGGTAAGTAAAAAATGAGGTAGTTAGATCAACAACCACATGCTACGCGAAAGAATCGATGACATTATTTATACCTTTATCGAAGTGTATTGTCTATTATTTCAACAACGCAACAACACAACAACATACAATTGGCATTCGTGTTCGTGGACTATTTTCGTAACACCCAGCCGACTTGTCGACAAAATGTCGTCCAAGGCAGCGTGTACCAGGCGCCATTCGTTCGGTTTCCGCGGCTTTAATCGCAACTATGCGTTCAGTCCATGCGATGCGGTAGGAAGATCCAGGAATGGAGGAAGAGGCGAGGAATAAGGATAGAGGAGGTGGTGAGGAGCGGCTGATCCCAAGAACGTTAAACGACTACTCATCCCTGTTAAACTGTTTGTATTTTCACTCGTCACGGCTGCATCGTTCGTTCGAGGTGCTCACATCGACACTCGTAGCCGAATCAATCGTGACTCCTCGTAAATTACTCGAAGCGATGCGGGGGCCGTGATGCCCGCTTGAATTCGGTCGAGTCATCATTAGCCGGGCCCCGATATATCTCTATCGATCGACACCACCTCGCGTGTCCTTAAGTGAAATCATGATTTCAGGGGCCGTTCGATCCCGTCAACATAAACTCGTTCGCATTCCACGCGTTCCACGGTTAATTTAATTTCGGTTCAAATCCCGTCCACCCTCTGTACGCGAGTCGTCTCGGTAGATCTGCCAACGAGATACCGCGAGTGTCACTTCGAAATTTCCAACACCACCTCCATCCTTCCTCTGTACGGAGTTATGGTATGAGAACCACTGACCCCCCGTCGCGTCAGGTGGTGCATCGAGGTACGTTCCCAGCTTTCGTACGCTACAGCCACTCGCTCGCTTCCTCTTTATCTCCGAGCGAGAGACGCCCGTGCTCTCGTGCAAATGCATCGATACACACGAACGGAGAGATAGTCTTTATTATGTACGTGTCCCGAGCGTTATCCGCCATCAGTGATTCGACAATCGTATTTTCAATAAGCGGTTGTTATTGCCTGACGGGTCCAACAATACCCGGGCGGACGACCCGCAAACAGATTCGCTCGGTTTTCTTCTTTTTTGGAGCTCGCTGGCGAAAACGGAGATCGAGTAACCTTTCGATAACTTTTTGTGAGACGGCTAAACGGGAAGCGAAAAATAGCGACGATGGTAGAGGAAAATGCTTGGTTTTTAAGCGCATAAATGTCACTTTAGTTATTGTATTGAATCCACACATCGCAATACAATTATTTCTATTCTTCTTGACATTACTTTGCCTTATATAACTCCTTAATTTTGGGGTAGTTCCCGTTAACCTAACTCTGTAAATTACATTTACGTTATTTCTTATCTTTGGTACACTGGTCCTCATCTAGCTAGGGTACCTCGGGGTCGCTAAGCCCGTACTGTAGCTGCATATTCGCATTCTAAAGCCTCTGAGGGCTAGACGAAGATATGTAGTATGTGAGAAGTGTTCGATATTTGGAAAGGGGCAGAAACGACGTCCTATAGGACAATTTGTGTCCTATTTGTCTCCTATGAGAGATCAAACCTTCTTCAAGGCTTGAGAACAAATCCTGCGATGAGAAAGATCCGTCATTTACTGGTTTCAAGCTGTGAATGAATACAAACACGGAATCTTCTAACTTCTAGCCTGTAACTCGGAAACCAACGCCACGTTTATTACCATGTTTCCAATCACAGTGACGACAACTGCGCACCTCTTCGCGGCTCGTAGCATAAATTTGCGAGCACTCGGTGCACTCTTTCTCCGACATCGATAAGAAGGGTATTATTAATAGTTGTCTCGAAACCAGAACATCAGAATTCTCGTGTCACCGGTAGGCTTCTTCGATGCTCGAACGATTTCGAGATGCGATCGCGTCGATCTTCGACGGGACTAGCAACCACGAGACACTTGTTTCCACGTATCTCGGTTTAGAAATATGCAAATGGTCCCCATCCTGTCTCGACGCAACGAGTCCGTAAACGATCAGATGGACGGACAAGTCGGAAACGTTGAAGCCGCAAGACCATCTACCATAATGGCACTGATTATCAGATAAGCTTATAGAAGGCGCGGTAATCGTAATAGCATCGCAACGATGGCTCCTCTGATTCATCGTTGGCAGAGATCGAAGAGGGAGAGTGGGAGATAGGCGAAGGGGGACGCAGGAAAGATAGGTCCATCCTCATCGGCGCCTGGTCCCGTCAGCGGGTCACTGTTTCTTCGTAATTAATATTTTAATTGAGATCACCGAGAATTAATTAATGCAACAGCGTCGTCAAACCCTCCCCGTCTGGACAGTTCGTTTAATCGATCGTAACACGGCGTCCGTCAGAGCTGTACAGGTTGTTCCATGAATTTCCTCGAGCATCGCGGCGTCACGCTGAGCGTGGACCGCCCTCTTGGATGCTATCTCGAGACTAATTTCTTACTCGTCGAAGCTCGTACAACCGTTACGATTACATTGTTACGTGGCAGCTCGAGTGTGGTGAAACACCGTTCCCGTTTAACCAACTATAATACTTTGTATATTTCTTCAGCTCGAGTGGATGGACCGAAGAGCCAAGACATTCGAAGACACGCGTGCCCGAATCTTGGCGCAGAACTACTCCCAGGGAAATACGCGCGACTCGTTGACTCTTTGATCGGGATACCTGCGGGAGGACCAAAACTTTGAAGGACCAAGACACGCACTTAAAACTTTCCGGTGCGACAACGTCCTCGAGAACTTTCCGGGTGATTCGACGTCAAAGACTCTCGACTCCCGGAGTTCCTCGATTTACTCCTGTCTATTACCCCACCTACTTCGGAACAAACAAAAGAACGATGCTCCTGGACCGTCGCTCGATAAACGGCGAAAAACGCGTTACATCGAGAGCCCTGCGGTCGTTACACCGAAAAGGGATCGTTTTTATACAGACCTCGCTGTTGCTAATTCCGAAACCGTATTTCATAATTAAATTAAGCAGCGCGTGGACACTTGAAAATCGTGCACACGTGCTGGATGGAGCCAGCCAGCGAGCTTCTTTTCTCGGGACAATGGAAAGGACGAGAAAACAGAGATAGATATAGAGGCGGAACGAGCTCGTCAGGGTGGAAACGTTTTAATAAACGGACGCGCGCTACCCTCCTGAGGGGGTGTACAAATATATTCGGTTGTTCCAGCCCGTGGAGAAAGCCGGGGAGAGGCGGGGGAAGAGTGGAACAGTGGTACCAAGTCAGGAGGTGAAGAGTCGAGAGGGTCGGATATATCGGTGAAACGCGAAAGGAGTCGGCGAGGGAGGGATGGCGGGCGGGACGAGAGGCAAAACATGTTGCGGCACGAGCTGCCTCAAGAGCACCGCAGAATTAGCTTTATTATAACCTGGGGGCCATCCATACATGCCTAACAGAGCACGAACATTCGCCAGCCAATAAGCCGAATGCTAACCAAACATTTTCGCGACTCGCCGCACCCTCGAATTTATCCCTGCCCGCGCGTCGGACGTAAAGCCAGCAACGGCCAGGAAGGAGGATCGATTTCGCAAATTAAAGCTGGGATATCTGTTTAATGCGTCCCGTTAATGTCCGTTGGCGCTCAACTATTAATACGGCTGGCTGTTTGCGGAAACCACTTAAAAGATTACCGACAGTTTGGGCAATTATCGAAGCCCGTGGATTAGCGGTGTCCCCCACCATCCGAGGTCAACGATTTATCGGCAGCCACTTAATTTAATAAGAACGAAACACTTCTTTTGGCGCAAAATAATAGTTGGTGGTTTCCAACCAATGTTCTTTTCGGACATTGTTCGCCACATTTCGCTACCTTCAACCGTTGGGTCAAGTTATTCGGCAAATGGTGGAAGATCGAAAGAGGAAACGAAGAATTACGGGATAGAAGTAATTTGAATTGCCACTGAGATACAATCAGTCTGATAAATATTTGTTCACCCTGTGTTCATTGAAGAAGTTTGTCTAAATTAAATGATAGATGTCATGTTTCCAAATAAATTTTTCATTATATATATACATATGCAAAGTCTATTCATGTACATATTTATAATGAAACATTCTTTTGGAAACATCAAAGCTATCATTTAATTTAGACAAATTTCTTCGATAGACATCAAGGGTACGAATACGTATGGGACTGCCTATATTACAATTTATCACTTGTAGTGA